GGCCGGTCCTGGGGAGACCGCGGCTCGGCCCCCGGGACGTGCCCCTCTGCCCCAGCAGCTGCGAGGCCTCTCGCCGTTCCGTGATGAGCACTTGACACCGTCAGGAGAGGCCCTGGGCGGCTCTAGGGCAGCTTGCGGGGGCTGGGCGCGGTGCTGCGGTGTCAGGAGAGGGGAGCAGCCGAGGGGGTGGTGATCTCGGTGAAGCTGAAGCTGGTTCTGCTTTGCCTCCCGACAGGCTAAGCGCACCAAGAAGGTTGGGATCGTGGGTAAATATGGTACCCGTTACGGAGCATCCCTTAGGAAAATGGTGAAGAAGATTGAAATTAGCCAGCATGCCAAGTACACCTGCTCCTTCTGTGGCAAGGTGAGAGACCTCCTTCCCTAAAGCAGCCCTTAAGAATATCTTCATTATTGAGTCTAGAAATGTGGTGTGGTGCTTTGGTAGTTTTTCTACTGAGAAGGTAACTCAAGTGGTTCTGAGACAGTGGTTAGTTGATTGCAAGCTTTGGGCTGTTGTCAGAATCACTTAAAAAGTTGGTAGGGATTTGACATGTATATTAAATGGTAGTTAAACGAAAATAAAGTATGTTTCATTACACAAAACAGTGAGAAATGTTATACTGTATGTTTTAGATATCTAATAAAAAGACCCCACTAAAACAACATGCTTGTTATTCTGATAATTAATGCATGGCTTGGGTTGGTTTTTTCCCTTCATTACCTTTGTAGCTTACCAGGACAAGGAAGAGAACTTGCTTTTTCCATCTACAACTCTTTATTGCAGTCTTATATTTTTGTGCTATATAACTCTTGAGTGAGAAGACGTTTCTGATAAGCAGTTTTACCTGCTCATGTTCATAATCAAAATTCACTCTTAAATCTGGTTTTTAACAGCTTGAGAGGCACATCAGCTTCTGCTTTGCCCTGATAATTTTTATTAGTGTCTGTACAGTTGGTATCTTTGAGTGGCTGGAAGCTTAAAAACATCTCCATCTGTAGTTTTTATATTTAGTGTCTCGTGAAGTGGGAATGTTGCTACCCCCATTTGCAGAGCTGCCTATAGGTCTAAGCTCCAGTATAGGTCTAAGCAAACCTACTGTCACATTTGCAAGGTGATGCGGACTTAACTGGGTGAAAGGAGTTCAGTGCCCACTGCTCCCTCTTTAGGTGCTCTTCAAAGAGGCTCTGGTTTAGAGCCCCTTGGGTGTCCAGGGAGCAGTAATATCAGAAATGTCATCAGAACAGGTGAGGACATCAGTTACGACCAGTGTAACTTCTTGCTATTTTTTTCATTCAAAAAGTGTTGAATTTTTTTATGTGCATAGAAATGACCCACTTTATATCTAAATGAAAAAGTGTTTCAGAAGGGTTTTCTTTGTTCTGAAGAATCTGAATAAAAACATGTCCTGGTACTTGCCTGCCTTAACTACACTTACAGGTAATGCTGTGGTGTGAGGCGGTTGTCCTCACATGATATTTGGATGATAGTACAAATTCTCTTGGCTTTTTCAGCTGATGGAGTGTGCCATGGTTGGGGTTTTTATTCTATTTATTTTTACCTTTTATTACAGACCAAAATGAAGAGGAAGGCTGTGGGTATCTGGCACTGTGGATCCTGCATGAAGACAGTTGCTGGTGGTGCCTGGACTTACAAGTAAGGAAATAAAGAAGCTCTAGCAGCATTTTTTCTGACATAGCTGAGGCATAATCCAGATTTTTATTTAATTTTTCAAAATTTTAATCTACTAACTTTTTAAGTAGATCTGTCTCAGATTAGTGATATGTGGGGTTGTGGCTTTTTTTCCCTGCACTGCTTTATTGGAATGGATCAAATTGGATTTGATTGCTAATCTTTCCAGCTTGTACAGCTTCTGGAAAAGTTGCATTTTATCCATGTTACTGCTGCTGGTTTTGGTGGTTCCCTACAAAATGTCTTTATCTCTCTGTGCTTTTTCAAAGCAATTATTTTACTCTTCAAAAACACAAGCTCTGCATCTTTTCCCAAATTTCATATAAAGAAATTAAAACATCTGCATGTGCTGAAACATATTTTTACCTAAGTAGTTTCTGCCTTGGCTGTGGTAGCATTTCTTTTTGGAGATGGGAACCACAGTTGTTGGTTGTGTGAGGTGTTGGTGCTTGGGCCAGTTTTTTTGGTGATGTTGGAAGAAAAGAGGCTGAGATGGCTGGTTCATTCAGCTGTCTCAGGATGGAATCAGCTGTGTGGATGACAGCTGACAGTTCTCCCTCTGACCTGTTCTGCAGAGATCTTCAAAAGCTTCTAATAAATCACACCTCTGACCAGGGGCATATTTTTCCTTCCTTGATTCTTTTGACTATGACTTAAATGTGTAAGGGAAATCTTACATCTTGTTTCAAAGCCGAAGCAGCATTTTTGGTGGTTACTACACAGGCTTTGTCAGTTCCGAAACACAGGTACGATCAGCAAAACCAGTTTTAGTCCAATGAAAATTACGTCTGTGTTTTGTTTCCATTTTAAAAGCACTGAGCCATTATAATCCTTATTGCGATCGTGCCCTTGCTTACTCCTTCTTTACTCTCCTTCCCTCCCCCTCCAGTTCTGGTAGAAGACACAGTTGTCCCACACACCAGTCACCAGGAACCCGAGCCCATGCGCTTGTGTGTGCAGTCGATGCCTGGCTGGGTAACTTGGGTTGAGATGTGGCTTGTGAAGTTGCATGTGCATCTCTAGACAAAGGCCTACGCATTGTTGTTGTGAAAAAGCAAAGTGGAATTAGCTCCTGGTTGACAGTGCAATCAGGCAGTAACTGTTGGAAAATATTAGTGCTTTCTCCAAAAAGTAACATTGGTGTGGTTTGTTCTGCTGCTGCCACGTGCAGATGACTCTGCTTCTTCTTCCAGTACCACCTCTGCAGTGACAGTCAAATCTGCGATTAGAAGACTGAAGGAGTTGAAGGACCAGTAGAAGCTGCATCCTGTTCTTGTGAAACATCTTTTTTTTTTTTTTTCCACTGTCAAGATCTGTCCTTTTAACAATAAAAAGGTGATAATGGAGTGGAATCATGTTCATCTTGCCTCAAAAGGTCCTTTCTGTCTTGCTGTACTGTATGTATTATAACTATGGAGACATTACTTTTGCTATCCAGTAGTCAAGTGGTTCTTGTTACTGGTGAGGCCATTAAAAACCACTTTTCCAGTTAATTGCATACTTTATTGCTTGAATGCACTGATGTGAATCTGAAGAGAGCTTAAAGAACTTGAACAAGCCTGGCACATCTTGAGATGTCCTTCATGACTGTGCCTTAAGGAATATTGTAGAACTACGAGTGGAGGAATGGACAGATGTAAGGGGGGAGGATAGAACATGGAAATCATCACTGCCTCATCCCATTTGCCTTTGAGGAGAGCTCAGGAGAACAGGGCATGTGCTGCAAGATGGAGAGGAAGAAAAGCTTTGTGACTGGCTTGGGGGCAGAGATGTAAACAAGAAAAGAGCAGCTATCATCCTCTCTTGCTGTCTGGTGCTCATTTTGCAGTGCCAGTTACAGATAGCTGTTCACTACAGCCATGTTGTCTTGGTTAATCCACCTGAAGGCACTCTGGTGGTCCTGTGGTGGCAGGCTCCCATGTCTGTATCTTGCAGTTTTCTAATCTACTGAGTTGCAACAATAAATTTTCTCATGGAGCCATCTCCTGGGACATTGAGTCTAGGAGGAAAATTTGCTGTTTGATAAAATAATTGCCTCCAAATCACCCATTTAGACTGTCAAGCTTTAGAGCTGAAACATTTTTTATCCTCGCTTTGTCAAGTGAGTTTTGATATGGTTTGAACTTCAGTTTTTGGTTTTTTTGTGACTGCAACACCTGTCCTTAAAAATACAGGTCACAAAACAAGTCTTGGTAATAACTTTGGTAGCTGCTGTAGGAAGAATAGTGAGCAGGTAATATAGTAGTTGCTTTCTCTTGCTCCCATCTTCCAACTTCAAATGGATTTGGGTGGTGATGAGCTGTGGCAAAAGTGTCACTAATCCTGACATCTTTGAATGACTGATTCAGAAGTCGACTGGAGTAGGAGCTTTTTCTTGAGCTGCAAAAAGTCAGGTTCAGAAATTTGAGTGCAGCGTCCTTGAACTTGTTTCCTAAGCTTTTTAAATTCTGTGCTGTAAACTTCCCTTACTAATGTAAATGCATATATTCAGGTATCCAGTGCCATTTGTAGCAACCTGCATATCCTTCACGTGACATCACAGCAAGGATGAGGGCCATTCCATGGGACATGCACAGTCTGCCTTCTGGGGGAGAAATCGCTGCACATTTATCCATCAACACACCTTGTTCTGCCTGTGCTGCAGGGGGAAAGA